ACTAGAGGAACAAATCCCCAAATAAGATCTAGGATACACACATCCCAGCATCCACAAGTTACCCTTTCTGCCACTTTATTCTACTTTCTTCATATGATAGACTCTAGGAGCAGCAGCATCCGGGATCTAGTTGGTTTCTCTTCCTATGGAAGTTTAGCAGGAAGGCCTATAGTCTCTAGTGAGTCTCAAAATAACTTTCATTTTTTCAATACAAGGGAATAAAATATTGGTTCATGGTACAATGTGGATAAACACTTTACACTAATGCAAGAAACCAGACACACAAATCATGTCTATTACGATTTAGTCTTATTAAATATTCAGAATGGATAAATTCACAGAGATAAAGATTAGACTGGTAGTTCTCAACATGGGAACAAAGGAGAACGAGGGCTAACTGCTTCATGGGTGCTGATTTCCTCCTATGATAATGAGAATGGAACCCCATAGGGGAGAATGGTTACGCAATCTTGTAAGTTACCGAATGTCACTGGATTATTCACTTTAAAATGACTAGTTTTCTATTAATTAAAACATTTAATTGTGAAAATTAAGAAATTGAAAAGGATGGGGTCCTTTAACATGTCATATCCTCACATTGGAAGGCCCACTATGTTAAGAGGACAATCTCCTACAAGTTGATATATATACTTATGCAACTCTTTCAAAATTCCAGGAGACTTTTTCTTCTTTTAAAAAAAATCTTACGAGCAGATTGTAAATTTATATAGAAATGCAAAAAACCCAGACTAGCCAAAACAAATTTTAAAAAGAAGAGATATCCAGAATAGGTAAATCCATAGAGACAGAAGGAAATTAATTATTTCCAAAAATGGGGATAAGGGGTAGAGAATTCTCACTCCCTGATTTCAAATTTTACTGTAAGTTACAGTTCCTAGCCAGACCAGTGCTACATGCCTGGAAGTAGGACTCTAGCACTTGGGAGACCAAGGCAAGAGGATTGCGAGTTTGAGGACAGCTCAGATGAACAAGATCCTGTCTCAAACCCCCAAAGGCTAAGGATGTAGTCTATGTGACGATAAACTGCTCTCTTAGTGGGCACAAGGCCCTGGGTTCAATATGAGCACTATAAAAAATAAAGTTACCAACTGTGGTATTTACATACAGATATACCAAGTGAAAAAAAACACTGAAAGTCTAATACATACATACACACACACATACACACACACACACACACACACGCACACGCGCGCGCGCACACACATTCTGTTTTGTTGGTTGTTTGTTGTTTTGAGACAAAGTCTTACTATGCGGCCAAGCCTGCACTCGAGCTTATTATGTAGCCCAGGCTGTTTTCCAACTCCTGATCTTCTGTCTCAGTCTCCTGATTGATTTTAATTTCAATTTCAATATATATATATTTCAACAAAGATAGCTTATAAATAAAAGAGTGTTTTAAACAAATAGCACGGAGATAACTAGATAACAAGATGATAAACTTACACCAAGTGGAAGGAACAAGATACAGGAGTGTATAGGTGCTAGATTCAGTAGCAAAGGCCTGGAATCCCAGCACTCGGGAGACTGAGACAGAAGATCAGGAGTTGGAGAATAGCCTGGGCTACGTAAGCTCAAGCATAGCCTTGGCTGCATAGTAAGACCTTGTCTCAATACAGCAACCAACCAACAAAACAGAAAAAGGGAAACACAAGAGTTGGGGCTATAGTTCAGTGGTAGAGTGCTTACCTACTGTGCACGAGGCAATGCCTTCTATCTCTAGTGCAAGGGAGGAGGTGAATTACATAATCCTATCTGTATAAAATGGACCCTAAAAGAAAATTCTATAGAGACAAACAATACAGTAGTAGTTGACTTGGGCAAGAAGTAGAAACTGAATTAAAAATGAATGACCATAGAGGAGTATGCTAGAAACTCAGCTGTGTCTCCCCAAAATCCATATGTTAAGCACAAACCAACAATCTAACCATATCTGTATATAGGACCTATAAGGACATACTTAGGGATTAAGTTATATCTTAATAATGAGGTTCTGATATGATAATATTAGTGCCCTTAAAAGACTAGACTGAGCCAGGCAGTGGTGGTGCACCTTTAGTCCCAGCACTTAGGAGGCAGAGGCAGGCAGATCTCTGAGTTCGTGGTCAGCCTGGTCTACAGAGTTCCAGGACAGTCAGGGCTACACAGAGAAACCCTGTCTCAAAAAAACAAACAAAAAAAAACCCAAAAAACACAAAAACAAAAAAAAAAGAAAAAGAAAAAAAAAAGAAAAACGGGTAATGAAGTATTGGAGATGACACTCTAGAAGAGGGAAATGTTTATTTGAATGAGTTGAATGTTGATTGGAGTACATTAAAATCTCTGTACTATTTACAGTTTACTCAAATAGTAGGAAAATATGGTATTTCTTTTGATTCTGTAAGAGTCTTCCCCAAGAACTCTGCCCTGATTCATTCAGCCCAACATCTCTTTTGAGATTTGTGGTCATGTTGGCAATGGAAATAGCCCCAGAGACTAAAGCAGCAGTCACTGAGCTGCATGTGTCTGAGCTAGATCCTCAGCAGGTATGTTTTGGTTCTGTAGCTTGCTGTTCTTGTGGGACTCCTAATAGTGGGAGCAGGAGCTTCCACTTGCTTTCGGGACCCTTTCCCTCCTACTGGGTTGCTCTGTCCAGCCTTGATATGAGGGTATGTGCCTAGTGGTATTGTATCTTATTTTGCTATGTTCAGTTAATGTCCCACAGAGGCCTGCTCTTTTCTGAAAGGAAATGGAGGACTGGATCTGGGGGGGAAGGGGAGGTGTATGTTGGTGGGGAAGGACTGGGAGGGGTGGAGAAAGGAGAAGCTGCAGTTGGAATGCATTATACGAGAAAAGAAAAGAAAGAAAGGAGGGATGAAGGGAGGAAGAGGAGACAGCTAGACAGAGGATAGAGAGAATAATGAGCCCCAAGGTTGAATGTGCTAGATCATGGTGGGAACTGGGAGGTAGAAGAGATGGCATAGAGGGTCTTGGGACAAAGAGGTTGCAGTGCGAATTTTGGAGACATGTTTGGGGTTTCTCTTGGAAGTTCTTCCCGGGGCCAGAAAAAAAAATTCTGGGAAGTAGACATTGTACAGACTAATATATATTGTGGAGCCAATAGGTGCTTTACAGTTTACTGGTAGAAGTGACAATGTGACTTTTCAGTAAATCTATACGGAGTTAAAAGTGTTTGCAAGTCCTTGGGGGAATATGGCCAAGAAGAGCGAGCAGTGGGGTAGGATTCAATACAAATGGCTGCCTTTAACCAACTGGAGGCCACAATTTTGAGCCTTAGTTCTCTTTTATGTAAGTGATGGAGAAGGCAGAACCAATCGGTCCCTAGAGACTGTGGGTTTCCTATGCTAGTGCTTAGGACTAGAACGTGGCAGGAGCATGAGACCAGTATCTTAGGCTGGATTCTGAGAAGTTTAGGTACCGGGCTCATGCTCTAAACCCCCATCAGAAGCTTATAGTCTACTAGAGAGATGATTTATGAGCACTGTGCTTCCGTGCTGGTTGTCTATAAAAAATAGGATTCAGCGGGGCAGTGGTGGCGCACGCCTTTAGTCCCAGCACTTGGGAGGCAGAGGCAGGTGAATTTCTGAGTTCCAGGCCAGCATGGTCTACAGGGTGAGTTCCAGGACAGCCAGGGCTACACAGAGAAACCCTGTCTCCAAAAACCAAAAAAAGAAAGAAAGAAAGAAAGAAAGAAAGAAAGAAAGAAAGAAAGAAAGAAAGAAAGAAAGAGGGAAAGAAAGAGAGAAAGAAAGACTAGACTGTTTGTGAGGCCAATAGTGCATAGCCTCGTCTTCCCCATGGACGCTCCCTGAAAAGGTAGTACATAAAGCTATCGGTATAAAGCTTAAGTTGCAGTGGAAATTGGAAGATTTTTGGCGATGCTAAGTATCACATGACGTTTGCTAAAGAAAGCTGTAGACACTGAGAGAAGCCAGGCTAGGTGAAAGGCCGTGTATGTTACAGGTAGGAGGGTCATAGAAGTAAGCCTGCCCATGTCTGTTGGAGCCAAGTTAATGAGCTCCTGTTCCCTGGACACGAAGACATGGTGTCTGGTATCTGCTCCTGTAGGTTTCATTCTTGCCTTAGTCCAATTTCCTCCCACTGTAGAATGGATTTTTTTAAAAAAATTTATTGGTTCTTTGTAAATTTCACATCATGCACCCCAACCCCACCCATCTCCCTCTCCACTCAGTCCCACTCTCCACCCTTACAACCTCCCCCACAACAGAGAAAAACAAAACTCACTGTGGAAGCTGCAGTGTGTCACAGTGTGTACCAAAGAATACCTTTTGCCCACACTTCTTTGCTTGCAAATGTTCTCTGCAATGACTCACTGATCTGGTATGGGGCCTCTGGCTTCTGTCACTCCATCAATACTGGAATCCATCTTGGATATCCTGTCATTGTCCTGTGTTATGGAGATCCTGTAATTTTGGATTTGTAGGACCAGGCCCTTCATGCACTCCAGCAGTTCATACATGGGGTAGAAGTTGGGGTGGGCCAATTCAAAGGCTTGGATCTGGGCCTGAGAGATATCTGAGTTGGTCTTCCCACCGGTTCTCACACCCTCAGGGTAGGGACAGTTGTCCTGCTCTCAGGACCCCAGGGCCAGATCTCCTTCCACAGGTGGTGAGGGGTGATGGAGGAAGAGAGTATCTCTCCCTTGTTCATGCCACCCCATAGGAGTGGCTCACTCGAAACTCCTGCAGTGTACAGCCTGCTCTCCGGAGTATTGCAGATGGCTAAGGGTGGGTGAGCTCTCCTTCTCTCATGCTCCCAGGGCCAGCTCTCTCATGATGCCCAGGTGAGAGTTAAGGTCAGTTCTGCACAGCCCTCAGACATCAACATGTCCCCAGGTCTTCCCAAAAGGGATTCTTCTAGTCTCCGGCTTGCTCCCTGTCCTAGCTCTGGTTTGGTGATCATCTCAGGCTAGCACCCTGTCCAGGCTCCCTGATGCCAGACTGATGGTAGTCTCAGTGAATGCTAGGCTACTAATCATTCAGAGTTCACAGGTCAGAACATTGAGCATAGACATAGTGTCTCTCCTCTCTACCACCTACTGCTCATGTGATACAACGGCCACATCTCAGTGTCTCAAGAGGCACATAGGACGGGAACTTTTGCTTCATTTGTACACCACAGCATACAGGAGTTATGTAAGTTCTATTTTTGTGATACTGGGACTCAGAGTTGAAAGTGTGCCTGCCTTGTTGGGGCTGGACAGATGGGCTCAGCAGTCAAAGACACTTGTTCTTACAGAGGACCTGGATTTGTTTCCCAATACTCATATGCTGGCTTACAACCAACAAGAACTTCATTCCAAAGAATCTTCTATCCTCTTCTGACCTCCATGGGTTCCAGGCCCACATGTGGTATACACACACACACACACACACACACGCAGGCAAAACATGCACCCACATAAAATAAAACAAATAAACCTAAAAGAAACTTTTAGGTTTGCCTTGAGTTTTAGAAGAGACTGAATTTTGGGCTTTAAAGTGTTGTAGACTGTTCAGATACTGAAACTCCAGAAGCTGGACTAAATGCATATGGTGTTATGAGGTGGTCACCATCCTTGGTGTAAACAGTTAAAGTTTGAAACTTAGATATCCCATACTGGCTCACGATGTAAATGCTTGTTCACTAGCTGGTGGTACTGTTTTAGAAGGCTATGGAATTTTTAGGACACAGGCCTATTTGCTAGAGATGGACACTAGGGGCAGGTCTTTGAAGGTTATCCCCTACCACCAGGTTTCAGTACACTCTCCCTTCATGGTGGTGTAACGAGAGAAACCTCTGCCACAGGCTCTCACCAGCATGGATACCTCCGTACTTTCTCTGTCATGATGACCTGAGACCTTTTGAAATGATAAAACAAAATAAATCTTTCCTTTTTTGTGTCTACAAGATATCAAACCACAGTAGCAAAGAGTAATTAAAATGGTGCTTCTTCAAGACTGTGGTTGCTTCTTTTAAAAGTTGACCATGCTGAGCCCTTGTGTCCCTTCCCTCTGGCTACTGCCTCAGAGACTTGGTTTTCATCTTCTCTAGGCTCTCTAAGGGAGCTGAGCTGAGTTCCTTGCATTCACATGAGAAATCCACCTATAACAAGCAATTGATAAATTTTAGTGAAATTATCTAAGCTGTGAGCAGAGGGACAAACAGAGAAGAGTTGCCAGTCAATGTATTCCAAGTTCAGTCTCTTCTGTGCCTGCCCTTCACAACCTTCATTCAGATTTGTTCTGGTAATGCTTGGATGACTAGATTCTAAGGATCTCTGTCCCTTTTGCAGTAGAATTAATATCAATGTACGCCTTCTACACAAATACATTCTCTCTCTAAGAGAAATACCGTCGTTCCCGTGTTGTTAAAACCATCTTTTGCACCTTGGAGAATTCAGAAGGGAAATAAACAAATAAAAATGTACAAACTCTTACAGTCTGTTGACATTACACTTCGTACTCAAAATATGAGTCTTTCCCTGTGTGTGTGTGTGTGTGTGTCTGTGTGTGTGTGTGTGTGCGCGCGCACCCACGCACTTCTTTCCCTAAGCAAAGCAGCTCTATTTAAAAGGCTCAGCTTCTTGCTGACTTTACCCTCCGATCCTGACCATGTCAAAGTCTGTGCTCTGCAGACAGCTCCCTGCATGACCACCTCTTTCTTTGTCTCTTCTCCTTCATCACTGGGACGAAGTCCTATTGTTTAAATCTCCCACCTCTCCCAACTTATCTTCTTTTCTAAAGTCTCACATCACAGAGTCACACCTGTGGCAAATACTCTTTTGAAGTGAAAAGTTAATTTGTAATGCAAATAATTACTTCTTTATTTATCTCATTTTCAAGTGGGTATTTTCACATAGCAAATTCTCATGAAGATAAATTGGGGGCAAACGGTTTCACACATTTGCTTCTCTGTCACTCCCTCCTTCTCCCTCCTGCTTGCTTTCTGTCCTTTTCACCTCTGGTTGTCTCTAACCTCTCCTTTTGGGATTGCTGAAAACCCCCTGGGTTTCTCTCCTGGGCTCTGCTTTTCTTAAGTGGAAAAACTCTCTGCTCCTGTGTCTTAGTTAGGATTTCTATTGCTGCAGTGAAATACCATGACCAAAAGGCAAGATGGGAAGGAAAGGATTATTTATTTGGCTTACACTTCCATATCAGACTGCATCATTGAAGGAAGTCAGGGCAGGAACTCAAACAGGACAGGAACATCAAGGCAGGAGCTGATGCAGAGGCCACGGAGGAGTATAGCTTGGTGGTTTGCTCCTTAGGGCTTGCTCAGCCTGCTTTCTTATACAAACAACCCAGGACCACCAGACCAAGGATGGCACCATCCACAATCAGCTGGGCCCTCCCCCATCAGACACTAATTTAAAAATGCCTTACAGGCTTGCTTACAATCCAATCTTATGGGGGCATTTTCTTAATTGGCATTCCCTCCTCTCAGATGACTTCAGCTCAAGTCAAGTTGACATAAAACTACCCAGTACATCATGTCATGGAGAAAATCTGTTGGACAGGGAAAACTCACTCTAACCCACCTGCTTCCAAAGAAATCCTTCAACACAGCCAGGTGAAGAGATCCTTTTACATGGAAGTGTCTGTGTCTGATACCATGATGGCTTGCAACATTCCTTTGCTGACTGTTCTGCTTCTACTAACTTCAATTAAAGTCTTCCTTCTACAGTTGACAAACTCTAAGAGTGGATGTCTTTATACCTTGGTCTTTGCAGGAGTAAATGAGGACAGTAATTTCTGTTCTATCTTAGAAAGACGTTGGTAGAGAAATGGGGAAGATAACATAGATTGCAAAGTATGACTCATATATAATAGAACATGTACTTCTTATATCTAATCATAGGTCTGTTCACTGAAAAGATCAAGGGCAGAACCTTTGAGCACAGAGCAGGTAGAAGTGAATTGTACTTAGAGAAGATGGTAAGCTAGGAACACTAGGTCTTTCAAATCAAGAATTGCCCTGTTCTACCCACATGGAAGCAAGAGAGCTTCTCAAGATGACACTGCTATTGTACTCTGAACTGAATTATTCCTCTTTTGAAAATATGATAAGGACAAAGCTGCCTAGAAGGTTGGGGTAGAGGAAAGTGGGGATAAGAGCAGGGCTTGCTTAGAATTTTCAGGTGAAGGTCAAGTGGGGGAGTACACATCCTGAGAGATAACTAAAGTTCTACACACAGAAAGGAAGTGAGAAGAAGGCTTTGTCAAATGAGAATAAATCAACATACCCTCAAAAACAGGACTGAGAAGATATAAGGTATCAGGACATTCTCACCAGTGTGAGAAAGGATTCAGGACTGAGCTAGAAAGAATGAATCTTTTCAATCAAGTAGAAGTTTGGTCAGTAACTCCATCCCACCCAACTTTCCATTCTCAGTAATCACCCTGTCGACTCTTTGTCAGAAAACACATATCTTGATTTCTTTCATTAAATATAGTGTGTTCTGGTAATGTTTTTGTTTGTTGTTTTTCTTTTTCTTTTTTCTTTTTTAAAACAAACAAACAAACAAACAAACAAACAAACAAACTAGAGTTGCCTGGGAAGAGGACTCTTCTGCTGGAGAATTACCTCTACTAAATTGGCCTGTAGGCATCTCTGTGAAGCATTTTCTTAATTGACATAGAAGGGCCCAGCTCAGTATGGGTTGTGCTACCCTGGGGAGGTGGTCCAGGGCTGTACAAGAAAGTCCCTGCCCTTGGTTCCTTCAATGATAAACTGTAACCTACAAGCCAAATACCACCCTTTTTCCTCAAGTGGCTTTTGGTCATTGCCTTAGTTAGGGTTTTACAGCTGTTAACAGACACCATGACCAAGGCAACTCTTATTAGAACAACATTTAATTGGGGCTGACTTATGGGTTCAGAGGTTCACTCCATTATCATCAAGGTGGGAGCATGACAACATCTGGGCAGGCATGGTGCAGGAGGAACTGAGAGTTCTACATCTTCATCTGAAGGCTGCTAGCAGGCAACTAGGATGAGGGTCTTAAAGTGACACACCTACTCCAACAGGGCCACACCCTCTAATAGTGCCACTCCCTAGGCCAAGCGTATACAAACCATCATAGTCATGGTGTTCATCACAGCAAACTAGCACATTGTAGGGACTCTTAAATTGTGCCACTCTGTTTATGCAGCTATGACCCCATCCTAACTCCCAAGGAAGAGATAAAGAACTAAGAAAGGAAAGGTGAAATGTCCAGCTGGCAGAAATTCTGCGAGCTTGAGTGGGGCCTACGAGATAACAAAAAACTAGACTTCCTAGATGATTTCTTCCACCTTGCAAATATTATAAAATATACCAAACACTCAGATTACTTTAAAAGTGACTTCATGGCAGCTTTATCAAACATTGACATTTCCTTATGCTCATTTCAGATCACAAACATAAAGTGGGATACACAGGGTCTTCCTTGTGTCATGTTCCTCTTCTTTGGCCGGAAGGAATCACTAGCTGGCATTTGGTGTTTATCACTTTCCTATGCAATGCTTTGTTTCATATGCATGTAGCCATACAGTGTGGGATTGTAGGCTTTCAGAATGTGCATTAAACACTATTCTCTGACACTTCCTCTCCCCGCAGAAATTGATGCTTGTAGATTTAGTTCATTCATTCATTGCAATTGCTGTGTAAACATAACATTCTCCTGCTGATAATCATTTACTTTGTTCTCAAATCTTTATTGCTTTAAAAAGCTGCAGCAATGAATGCTTTTTGTACATGTATCCTTGAGCATAGCAAAATTTCCTCTAGAAACTAAGCCTCCAAGAGAAATTACTGATAGTGACATTTGCACATCTTCCTCTGTAGTAAATGTTATCAAGTTGTTTTCCAAAACAGTTGTACGCATTTATTTTCCCATCCCTTTAGTTTATGGGAGCTCTTTCTCATGTTCATTTGAATTAGTAACTACAGACAACCGGTCTCCAACTCTCAACACTGCTAGTTATGATTCCCCAGCTTCACAGTGGTGCATAATCAGTATGGATTCAGTAGAAGATGCACTTTATACTTTGATATTTTCCTGGGTTCGAACCATTCAATATGCAGCACAACACTCTCTGGAGGCGCTGCTAGCAGCAGTAAGT